TTGAATAATGGATCCCACTGACCATGTTCAGAATATGTTATACTTACATAAATATAATGTTATTGGGCATACTATACTGAAATATAAGGTTAGTTAAGCTATTTCCGTGATCATATGCCACATTTAATTACTCGTGTATTTCACAAACTAGTGATATCAACAATTCAAAATGACACTACTAATAAGTGAAATAGAATATATTTTAAGTTCAAACGAAAATTGGTTATAATAAAATTTAAATTATCAAAATTCAATATATTGTAATAATATCAAGTTTTCTATTGCATTWTAATATCAATACTATCATATAATTCACTRCAATTATAATTGTGCACCAATGTAATATAAAAATAGTACCTTGAGCGATAGAAGAATGCTCCCCTACATTCAATGTGAAATACTAGCATCCAACCCAGAGATGACAACGTATCTTTTTCAACTCCTCAAAGATAAGAACTTGATCCAGAAAATAAATACCCAGATTTTATCACATGTAGTTCCAATAATTTAAACCATTCATGTATCATATTAAATACAATATTTTTTTTAACACTAAATTAATTATAATGTTTATTTAGAAACTACAATAACTTTAGATATTAGGACGTATAAATAAATGAATAAATAAAATAAATATTACCTTAGTACACTTTTTATTTTTCTGAAACAAAATCAAGTATGTAATTTCTTAAACGTTGAAGCAGATTGCAATATATTAATATAAAAGTTTAAGAAAAATGACTAAGCTGTGAATTCTTACCAAAAAGTGAAACTTAATCCAGAAGTTGCAGATAAGTCCAAAAAGAATACTTAGTTATAAAATTCAAATAATATATTATATTAAGATTACCACAGTAATTGTATTCAATCGTAAGACGGACATTTTGTACAATACATACAATACTTACCCATACTGTAGGTACATAATACATATAGTATAATAACTGGTTTTATTTCAGGTGTTATATTTTATAAAATAATTTTTTTTTTAGAAAAACGACACTTTAGGTATCAACTCAAAATATTCTTTGAAGTTCGATGCAGGCTTAGGTGTTATCCATAAATATTCTTTTTTATCATTTGCATAGGATTCCACAAGTATTATTTTACTGCATGATTGTATTTCTGAAGATTTTGGTTTCTTAAGAGATTGAATTGATGGAATTTCGTTTTTTTTTAAATCTTGATGATCAGATAGTTCTGCTACCGGAGGTAATGTATTTTCAGTTATTTTTCGATCTGAAGGTGTCTTTTTACCTTCCTTCTCTGTTAAATTTTGACCCTTTAAAACCATCTCGATTTTATTCAACGAAKTAAAGTTGGTTCTTAGTATTAAAAATGAACAAAACTTATAAATTTTTAAAATCGTATTGCTGTTTTCAGTGCGCTCCTAAAAAAATGAGTAACTATATCACTTTATTATAATTAATTCAATATATTTTATTTTTTCAAAGATTTCTATATAAAAAATACAAAAATAAGTAAAATAATAAACTATGTGAAATAATTAATTTACGTTTTAAATTTATTTGTGTTTCTATGGATATATATTATTTTAGGATACTCCTATATGTATATTATTAATAGTCAACATATGCCAATAACGTATAATTTATATATGGACTTGATTTATGTTTTGTATTCATACAATTCTATTATTAAGTCAATTTTTATTCTTATAAATAAAACATTTTGCATTATCTTTAAATTATTATTGTTATAATATTTTAAATGTTTATAAGTACCAAGGCTATATATATATATATATATATTTATTTATTTATATATTTCAAAAAGTTGTGA